ATCAAGCTCTGCTTGATACCCTCAAAGGAGCGTTGACATTCAGCGTTCCATAACCACCTCTCGTTCTTTTTCAACAAACGAGAGAGGTGCACAGTCATCTCGGCGTAATTGCGTGAATACTTGTGCAAATACGCCGCTAGCCCAAGGAATTTTCGAAGACCTTTGACATCAACCGGCACAGGCCAGTCGGTGATCGCCTTGATCTTTTCGGGATCAGGACGTACACCGTTCTTACCAACGATGCACCCAAGAAGTGGTATTTCGCTTGCTGCAAATACACACTTCTTGAGGTTAGCATACAATTGATGCTTTCGCATGATTGTAAGAACCTGTCGGACGTGGTACCTGTGAACCTCAACGTCCGACTTTCCATCCATAGCTCGACTATGGATGAATATGTCATCGAAATAACTCGGCGCGAATTCTCGTACTGGTCTCAACAGATGCGATACACATCTGTTGAATGTGGCAGGGGCATTACTGAGCCCTTGTGGCATTACTAGCCATTCCCAGAGCATGCCGCTAGGCGTGCTAACTGCGGTATAGGGTATATCCCGTTCCCGCATAAGGATTTGATAGAAGCCATCCATCAAATCCATGGACGAAAAGATGGTACTCTTTGACATACCATCAATGATTACGTCCTTCCTTGGTATCGGCGTCTGAGCCGGTACCGTTGCAGCGTTCAATTTGTTGAACGCGTGCACTATCCGCCACCCTCCTGTTGCTTTTCGCACACAGAATGTCGGAGAGCTATGTGGGGAAGTTGATTCCCCACATGGCCCGCAGCTAAACGATCGGCAAAGAACTTGTCGATCGCAAGTACTTGTTCACGAGGCAGTGACCACTGCTTCATGACACAGTACTTCGAGCCTGGTTTAAGCTCGACCTCGTGTCGAATACCTTTATCCTTCGGTAATTCGCACGGAACAGTTTCAGGGAATACATCCTTGAATTCAACCAAATCTTCATAGAGAGGATTTTTCTTGAGCGATTCCCATGATTGGGAGTCATATCGCTCGATTCGTGTCTTTTCATCTAGGACACTTTCGTCCATAGATGAACTACTGAGAACTCTCTCGTTCTCAGTGAACACTGTTGCTGACCTTATGTCGGTTACACACTCGTCGTCAGTGACGAGTATGCAGATCTGCTTGACTTTGCCACTACGCAGATCACGCAAGAACCTTTTATGTTCGAGCGTTGGCAACTGAGTGATCTCCGAAGTTAACTTCGGAGGCGCAATCAGATCAAGTGTATAAGCGCCTACACTTGATCCGTTATTGACTAGGACATTCAATGTCTCTGTCATTTCCTGGGGACTTATTCCCTCAGGCTTCGAAGGACTTATTCCTTCGGCTTCCCGGGGACTTATTCCCGCGGGTTTCGGGGAACTTATTTCCGCCGTATTTGTAATCTTGGGACTTATTCCCTTTACTTCCTCTAGCTGGGGTTGCGCAACCACAGCGAGATCCTCTACGAAAGACTCTCCAGTCGATCTAGGATTATCGTTTCGCTTAACCTGAGCGATCGATTGTTTCTCTTCTAGATGTTCCCCGCTAGGGATACATCTTTGTCCCGGTACACTCGACTTATTCGAGTGGTGGACCTTCGGCGCAGCCTGTGTTTCCTCACAGCCGCCGGAACTTTGCTCCGAAGTGCAACTGTTTGGTACACTAAGGTTTTGTGCAGTCGTACTAACGACCGTACCACAAGTGAGGCCATCGCACTCACTCGTACTACATCCACACGCTTGTGGACGCTCCAAAACGTTCATCAGATGGCCATCTGATGAAAAAGCGGCAGGCATCGTTACTGTTCGATGTTGCCAGTTTACCCGTGGTTCGTACCTTCTGAGCTACGGTATTCCAAGGAAGACATCAAATTTGTCATCCAAATCCAATACGATAAAGTCATCGTCATGTTGGGTATCTTCTAGCGTATAGTGGATCTTCACTATACGCTTCATGACGGTTACGGATGCGCCTGTCGCAAGACGTACCGTCATCCTCGTAGGAGGTGTGTCACATTCACTGAATTTAAAGTGACCATCTTCTAGCGATTGGCGTCGCACAAAATTGTTGGACGCCCCACAATCGACTAGAGCTCGAAGGGACAACTTATTCGTCACTTCGAGTTTCAAGGTAATGAGTGATACCTCATTACCTAGAGCAGCAACGCACAACGTTTGTGTGTTGGGAGCAACCTTCATCAAGAGGCCTACAAATTCTCTTGACGTTGCTGGATCAGTAGGGTGCTCCGCACCTACTGATCCTGTCCGTTTTTTGACGGTCCATCCCGTTGTTGCGTCTTTGCACCAACTGCGGACCCGCGTCCCTGCCCCTTTCTCATGGGTGGACGGTCACTACGCCCAGTGTCGCGAGACACTGGACGAGAGGCACTACACTCGTAAGCGTAGTGTCCTGTCTTTTGACATCTGTTGCATCTCTGCAGCTTCTTGTAGCCTGTAGAGCGAGCCTTCTCGCTCTCTACATCACAAAGTTCCATCGACTCTGGACCTCCGTTGTCATATCGTCTCGGTTGACGATATGATGTTGAGCTGGCGCGAGCCTGTCTCAGACTGAAGTCTTCCTGCTCCGCAATGGAAATGGCTTGTTCTAGTGAATCTAGTTCAATCCGGAACAGGTGAGTCTTGACGGGACCATCCGCAAGACCCTGCATGAACACCGAAACCAACGTGTGTTCATCCACCGGATTGGAACTTATACAACTCGTGAGATGTCGTATATGTTGAGCGTAAGCGTGCACATCACGCTTACCCTGCTTGAGCTTCAAGAGTTCGGTTCGAGCTCTGAACTCAGCTCTAGGCGGTTCAAACGTTTGTCTGAGCCGCGACTTGAAGACTTCCAACGACCCAAACGCATATGGGTCGTGCAACTTGAGCCCCAGTGCCCAAGTCTTGGCACGTCCTACCAGATTTGACTGGGCAAATGCAACTTGCATATCCCCGTCGTCGATGCGACGCGCCCTTATGGCGTCATCCAATTCGACGAACCATCTCAAGAGGGAGTCTTCTTCGACCCCCCTATACTTGGAGATGTCAATCTTCAAGGTTTCGGGTCGACGCGAGTGCATCGACCCACCAGCAGCAGCCTGCTGCTGTCTCAACAGTTCAAACTGTTGAGCACCCTGTTCTCTCAACAACTCTGCTTGTTGAGAACCTTGTTGGTGAAGCAAGGCTACTTTCTTGCGTTCTGCGTCAAGTTCATTTTGAATGAACTTGGCGATAGTAGCATGTTGGGCATCTCTATTGAGAGCCTCTAGCATGACGCTAACAGCATGGATGCCCATGGTCGAACCCATCCGTTCAACCGCATCCCATTCGACATCGCTCAAATGGGAGTAGCCGTCACGCGTAGCGTGAAAGCTTTGGTCATCTTCATCATCCAACATATTCATGTTGGATGTGAACGCGGTCCTTGAACGGACTACGAAGTGCTACCAGGTGTAACGGGGCACCCTGAAGCTTGTACTGGTGACAGTACAAGCTACTTATTCTGATGACAGAATAAGGCGGTGCCTCGTAACTTCACGTACACTGGTACGTGCAGAGGAAGACGGTAAGAAGAAGCGAGTACTTGGTTAGAGTAAAAAGTAGAACTGTATTTAGTATAGTTAATGTCTGCAATAAATCACTATTTATCTTCACCTAACTATGTCTAAATACAAATGTGTAAATCAAATATCTGCTCACCACTCATTGCGTGCGTCTGTCGTGGCGCGTCTTCGTTGGTTGATATAATGGCCTATATCAACCAATTAGGAACTACTTGGAAGTGCTACAGAATATTTGTCCTTATGACAATATTCTGAGAATATAACTCTTATAGTTATATTCTATTAACAATTTCTTATTAAATTGTTATGTAACGATTCACCCCGTTACAGCCGCAGTCCATCTACCAAACAGCCGTGCCGGTTCTCCGCCATCAATGGACTAAAACAGACGGGTCCAGGATCTGAAGAAGCTCACCAGGAAACGTGAACCTCTTGACTAGCCAGAGTAAGTGATCGGGCACATGACCAGCGACCCTCTGCCATTCTAACGTCGAGCTGCTGGCGAGAGGAAATGGAATCTGTTTCGGGTTTGGCCACATCGATTCCATAAGCTCCCACGCTGCTGCCCAGTCCGTTCGGTCGACGCGCTCGTTTGCCTCATCGCCTGGGGGGAGCTGAGGCCCTGGGTCTCGCCTTCTCTCTTAGCTACCGCTTCCTTGGCGCGCTGCGACCTGTCCGTCCCATCTGATATCTGCAAAATTTGAGACGCCACAAGCGCCCTTTTACGATCAGCGGGGGGAGGGGGTCGCATCCTTGCTGGAGGCGCTGAGGGAATCGTAGAACAGCTAACCTGCCGCTCCACCAGTGCTCGCGCGTTGCAATCGTCCGGTCTATGTCTACTCAGGACCTCCGTTGACGCGTCGATAAAGTCATCCCGTAAGACTAGTATCCCTGCTAGCTGTCCAGACGTCTCGGGTACAGGCGCCGTCGCCTCCTGAGTAACCGGACACACCGACGTACCAGCAGCCGTCTGCTCAAGTGATGTTGTCTCCGCCACCAAGTCGGGCAACAGACTGGAACTCCCAGAGTGATTAATAGCGGAATAGTGGCAATTCTGGTAGCGCAATACGAGAGGAGGGAGCCCGGGTGCCTCAATTTTTGCCGCTAATACTGCATCCATGAGGTCCATAATTCCCAGCGGACATTCCGCCGCCGTCACGACCCTCCGCCGATGGCGGGTGATCGTGGTGGGTACAAATTTACGGCAGCGCCACGGGTGGGTCTGGCCAGTAAGAAACTCGATAACATAGATTGACTGTTGTAGAAAATTGGCCGCCATGCCGACCATATCGCAGCCCCCCCATGTGTCCGAACCAACCAGAGCCGTTCGGGCGGACGGGCTGGTAGCATAGTCTTCGAGGTACCATCGTATCTGCGAAGCTGATTCCTTGTGAGTCATCGTAGGCCAACCTCTGCTGACGCTAGCCAGAAGCATGAACTCTATGATCGTGAGCATACTGATCCTCCAGATCCAGCAAGCCCGACAATTTAATCCCCCGTTTAAGGCAAGCTGTCAGTAGCTCCAGATGCCTGTCTGGACCGTCCAGGGACGCGTCCGTTGCCGCTTGGGCAATAGCCATGGCAAGACAATTAGTAGTAGCCGGTGTGATTACCGGGTAAATCGCAAGTTGGGACGTTAACTCCGCTACGTCCGTCGGGACGTCTGTTGCTCGTGCTCGTACTGTCGTCAGAGCCTTGGGCAGCCGACCCAAATCCGCGACCAATTGTCGAAAGGATCCTCTCTCGTTACGCTTGAGAGTCATCAGCACTGGACCCGTCGTACTCGGAGCCGACCCACGTCCAGCCCCCCGTTGCTTCCGGGCCTTCTCGGAAGACGTAAGAAGCGAGTGCGTACCGGCCCCGTCAGATAAGCCCACCGTTGGATTAAGTGCCCCGGCTGACCGTGAATGAAGCACCCTGATCTCTTCCGACGCATCCGAACTAGTTTTTGTCTCCTCGGCCCAGTCCTCGCCATCCTCGCCTATAAGCTCCTGCCCTCCTGTCCGCACCTGTGAGGCCACCGCTTTTACCTGGCCCGTGGCCGCTTTAGACGAACCTCTCGATCGTCCCTTTTTGGACTGCTTGGTGATCCACGGCTGTGGTGCTGCTGGACGCGGATCTGGTTGCATGTGAGCAAACTTCTCCCCTTGTTCCGCTTGTGGAGCACTACTGGGGCTCGTAACCTCAGGAAGTGAAATAGCGGCGTGCGTCCCTGATATTTGTCCTCGCGCGGGTGGCGAAACCGCTGCTTGAGCTAACTCCTCCGCTGCTTCTTGGAGCGCTAGGCGCCGCCCTGCCATCTCTTTAATTTCCTCGAAGCTGAGAAATGGTCTCGCAAGATCCTCGAGACCCTTGACGTCCTCCTCCATTACGACTACGCCCCCTGGCCCGCGCAACTGAAGGTCGGTGAATGTACACCGCGCCAGCGTGTGGCCGAGGTTGCCACATTGAAGACACTGCAGCCGCCTGCCGACATTCGGAGGCTTAACAATTATGGTCGTCCCGAACCATAACAACCGAACAATGCCGTCGAGGAAAGTCGGACAGCCCGCTAGTTTGAAGGTTACCCTCCATATTGTCGATGTCCTGGAATCGGGGGTATGCGTGTCCAGGTCCTCCATCACGAATTCCGTCAAAATCTTCTCCTTCAAAAAAGCTGCAATCCGGCCTATGTCGACAAACCGAGTTACATTGAGAAGCAGAATCGTGTATTCCACTCGCCGGCCTTGTGGTTGTCCATTAAGCCCCCCGCTGTCGGTCCCATATCGGGCCGGCCGCTGCTCGGTGGGCATTCAGGAGCCGGTATACTCCTCCCGAAAAAGGCACCCGCACCTCCTTGTGCTTCTCGGCAGTTTCTCTGGTAAAGAAATAGAAGTGAATCGACTTCGTTACTTGATCGTAGCTGATCGTCTTCGTCTGGCCTAGCATGTTGTGTAGCGCAGGTAAGTTTACTCGCGCCAGCTCCGCCGATTCCAGGATCCGCTCGGTGATAGCTTTCGTACTCTGTCGGGTAACCCGGACACCCCCAGAGCGCCCCAATTGCATAATCAATTCGCCTTCTACCTGAGCCTGAATCGTAGAAACTAGTCTGAGGCATTCCTCACTTCGGAGGATGTGCGGAAGAAAAGCCGGCATGTTGCGGCATGCTATGGTGCCCTCGATTAAACCCAAGACAATCTTCCATTCATCGTCTGTTCCCTTACGGACTTGGTGTTGTCCTGCCGGTGCCTGCGGCGACGCGCATACAGCTCGGAGCCGCGCGATCTCCACCCCGGAAAACTTAGCGGGATTAAACATGAATTCCTCATATTTCGCTTTTCGTGGCGGCGGTGGAGCCGCTGATGGAGTCAGGCCTGTGCGAACAACAGCCGCCCATTGATGGAGCACTGGCGCGTGCGCCCACTTATGCTGGCTCGCAAGTCTGCGTACTATCTCTCGGAAAGCCCACTTAGTGGTAAAAGCTCCCGCGTAATGGTCGACGCTAGTTTTTTTCATTCCTCAAAGCGTCCCGTGGTGTTGACAAACGCTTGTTCAAAAAAGCCTAGTAGACTGGACGCTTCGGCTTCACTCAAAGTCGGGAAACGTTTTCTATCCGCCGGCAGCTCCTCGGAAAGAACTGGGACTGTCGCGTAGGCCTCCGCGAAAAGCTGCCTGATCGTTTGGATCCAGGCCTCGACGTGTCCGACATTCGGTGATTCCTTCATGTCCCCAACCAAAGCAGAAAACATGGCCTCTGACGAAACCTGCCGGATGGGGGCCTGTCGCGGAGGAGGGGAGGGCGACTGGCCGTCCGTGGGGTCGGGCTCAGGAGCTGCCGGTGGCGCTGTCCCGTTGGACCTGTCACTGCCGTCCTGAGAGTTTACTCCTTTAACCGCCGAAGCGCTAGGCTCGCGTTGAAGGGGAAAAGCCGACTCAAGTGGACCGGCTGTGCTAAGGCATCCAATCGGCATGCCTTCGTCACCGAGCATGGGGTGGTCGTCATCAGCCGTCGGTCCCTGTGAATCCTCCTGGATGGCCCCTGGAAGCGGTGGTAAGGCCGATATGCTGGCGCCCGGCCTTGCCGCTTCCACCGGCTGAGTCATTCGACTCTCGTCGCTATCCGTCGACGCGCAGACTGTACCTGGACGAGGCACAGTAGGCTCCTCGGGTAGGGTAGATGCCCCTCCCGGGTCATCCCCACCTCCCGGGGAGATCTAGGGGCTGCATAGCGCCTGGACGCCGCTCGCTGTGAGCCAATAAAAACGGGTTTAAACTCCTCTGTGATCCGATAAGATCACTGCGTCGCAAATAGAAGAGTGACGCCGACTCTTATGAACACAACCGTCCGCACCACCGTAACTCGCATCACCGTAACTCGCATCACCGTAACTCGCACCGCGGTGCCCATCACCACCGTAACTCCCTCGACGGTAACTCCAAAAACCGACACTCCCACCATGGCGATGACTCCCACTACGGTAGTCAGAACCAAGATTCGTCCTACTATAACAGCGACAGTGGTAGCTACATCCGCGGCAGCTACGAAGGTGATGACGACCACAGCAACGGCCACCACATGAGCGATCGACAAAACAGCGACAGCTATGGAGAGGGTAAGTACAACAGCGGGGACCACATGAGCGATCGACAAAACAGCGACAGCTATGGAGAGGGTAAGTACAACAGCGGGGACCACATGAGCGACCACCACCACAACAGCAACAACCACAACAGCAACAGCTACGGAGAGAACGAGTCCACCAATTACAACGGCAAGAATGACAACACCAACGATGACATGAACAACAACAACGACAAGAACGACGACGGCAATGAGGACAACAACAGCGACAGATACGAAGGTGGCCACCACACCAGCGATTACCACAAGAGCGGTGGCTACGGAGATGACAACAACAACAACAACAACAACGACGACAACAATAACCAAATGAGTGGCAGCTATGGAGATGACAACCACGACAGCAGTAATTACGGTAACGACCATCACAAGAGCGGCAACTACCACAAGTACAACCACGGTCACCGCAACCACAACTACGGTCACCGCAACAGCGGAAGCTACGAGGATGGCAGCTACAACGACGGCAACATGGACAACAACAACAACGGTGACAACCACAGTAACGGAGAGCACACCAGCAACCACCACGAGAGAGGTGGATATGGAGAGGGTCGCTACAACGGCGACCACCACAACAGCGGTAGCTACGAAAAGTGGTAGCTACAACAACGGTACCTTTAACCAAGGCGTAAACGGATACCTTTCCATCAAAATGTCTTACAACTCCTTTTTTTTGCCAAGCTTCCGAGTACGAAACTGTCGGGACGCAGTAGGTCGATGAGGACAGACACATTCGTATAGCTGTTGGTAGAAACAGGGCAAGAGAGCTGTTGTCCCTGCCAGCAGTTGACCGATTACTCGGTGATGGCCGCATCGACTGATATTGGAAGGAAGTGGCGGACCGTTCCGACCGTCATGCAAACGTGGTAGCTGCTCCCCAAACGCTATCATACGATAACGAGAACTCAAGGGTGGCACGCTTTCTACCATCAGCAAAACAGGACCAAATGGTTGGCGTTGTCATCCATTCGTTGTTCATGAGCCCTCGGGTAGCACTCTCCATCAAGATGGACGCTGGTTATCGAACACATGCTAAGGTAATGCGCACGGTCGATCAAACGAGCGCAGCATAGATCAATGCTTTCTGCTCGGTCGTCTGGGATGGACTAACGTCTGCTACTATCGCATGACCTGATGGTCGGATGCAACTTACCCAGTCACTCTACTTTGTGGAACTAAAAGCACTTGGCACTCTGTGGCTGGTGCAACTCGATGAGCATGTACATTTCTCTGTATTTCTGTTCTGAAGTAACTCGAAAGAGGGTTAGAAATTACTCAGATTGCTCTAAACCTAACACTTACCAGCGATCGGTAGACGTCCCGTTCGATACCCTACCAGAGGTTAAGACTGAATGGAGGACACCTAATCAGATGTAGAGCTGTGCTTGCAAAATGGTGTCAGCGTCGATGCGATTTGCATAACCCTCGACATGCTATGTCATCAGATCGCACATAAGACTACGAGGAACATGACCAGCCTAATGAAATAACCCTCTCCTATGACCTTGTCCGAGTAATCGCAAGAGTTTAAAAGAGGACAAGCATTTGGCAGCACGCCAAATTGGGTTATCAACGCTGCAATCCGACTGGACGAAGCACCTACAGCTAAAGCAGAAGTACTTCAAGGGAAAACGGCAAAAGTAAATGCATTGGCCTGCCTGTTAGGTAGTAGCACGACGATCTTTGGTTGCCACATGGTGCGAGCTACCCAATAAAGGGATGATTCTACTTCACGCCTAAAAACGTTTTGGAAGAAACATTCCGGCATCGAAGTCGCCGATCGCTATGAATCTTAGCGACTGGTGCCCGGTAACAAATGCATGCCTTGTATGAACAGTAGTTGTCATGTGCGGGCGACAGAAGGCGTAGATCAGAATTGACTCAGGCTTTTCGGGTGTTGCATATCACATTTCCATCTACTACGATGAATCGTTTGAGCCATTGGAGACTCTACCATCCTAATGGTGGCGAGCGTCGATGAGGTTCTGCGTTAACGTTTGCCTCCATGAGGTTCCGCGTCAATGAGTACATATTCAGTTCTGGCGTCTCATTTGTAGTGCCGCCAACACGTCGATACCAATGAAACAACAACCACGCAGGCACGCGCCAGCGAGAGAGAGAGTGGAAAGAAACGCAACTTTGGTGATTCACAGTTCCCCAGTTGCACCGCGCTCTGGCGACGTCAAGACCGGTCGCAGTAGCAATCGTTGCATTTCTGACTGCCACCTACAAGGCCGTTCGTCGCCATATGGTGGAATTTATCGTTCGATTCGATTTTCGTCACAAAACCCGAGTCATTCATTCGTATCCTGAAGCTACTGCTGCAACATACTGAAACACTCGTCTCGACCTTCTCACGACAATATGGTGCATCACAACCACCAAACAATGTTTCACGGCAACTTGGCCAGAACAAAAGAGGCAACTTTGACTCAAACGCATGCGGTAGAACCATCGGGGGCAACACCTCGCTGCACTGATCAGTCTTTGGTCCAGATCCGCACCATCGACCTTCGTTCTAGAGTTGTCTCCTGCATCTCGACAGCACCACGGGCTGCTAGTTACAAGGGGAAGAAGAAGAAACAGACGCTCCGTTCATTTCATTCTGCAACTTGCAGCAAAGGCGAGTCACCACCACCTCCACCTCCACCACTCGACAGCTTGAGTCCTCGCTCAGCGCATTCAACCGTCCAGCAGCAACCATGAAAGTCTTGGTTTTCTCGATCTTTAGTCTTTCTGCGGCCTTGCCAGCATCAGCTGGTACCCCCAAGTACGACGAGGACCTCGGCTGCTGGCCAATCAGCGTCGAGCGTGACGCCACCTACTGCATCGACGGGCCCGTCTGCAGCGGCGAAGGCTCGTCGCCTGCCGGATCCTCGTGCCCTGTCAAAGGTGATGTGGCGATCGCCGACTGTGACTCGAATGTCACTCGCGACAGTGTCGGCGACTACTGCGAGCTGTCAGTCGACACCGTCTGTGAGGTCATTCACACGGGGGCCTGGGGATGCGTCATCCCAACAAACGACCACGCCGACGCTTCTAAACATAACCGTCCGCACCACCGTAACTCGCGCGACCGTAACTCGCACGACCGTAACTCGCATCACCGTAACTCGCACCGCGGTGCCCATCACCACCGTAACTCCCACTACGGTAACTCCAAAGACCGACACTCCCACCATGGCGATGACTCCCACTACGGTAGTCAGAACCAAGACTCGTCCTACTATAACAGCGACAGTGGCAGCTACATCCGCGGCAGCTACGAAGGTGATGACGAACACAACAACGGCCACCACATGAGCGATCGACAAAACAGCGACAGCTATGGAGAGGGTAAGTACAACAGCGGGGACCACATGAGCGACCACCACCACAACAGCAACAACCACAACAGCAACAGCTACGGAGAGAACGAGTACACCAATTACGACGGCGAGAACGACAACAAGGCCAAGAACGACGATCACAAGAACAACAACAACGACAAGAACGACGATGACGACAAGAACAACAACAGCGACAGATACGAAGGTGGCCACCACACCAGCGACCACCACAAGAGCGGTGGCTATGGAGAAGGTAGCTACAACGGTGACCACCACAACAGCGGTAGCTACGAAAAGTGGTAGCTACAACGACGGTCCCTATATCCAAGGCATAAACGGATACCTTTCCATCAACATGTATTCCAACTCATTTTTCGACAAGCTTCCGACTACGAAACTGTCGGGACGCAGTAGGTCGATGAGGACAGACACATTCGTATAGCTGTTGGTAGAAACAGGGCAAGAGAGCTGTTGTCCCTGCGATCAGTTGACCAATTACTCGTTGATGACCGTATCGACTGATATCGGAAGAAGTGGCGGATCTTTCCGCCCTTCATGCAAACGTGATAGCTGCCCCCCAAACGCTATCATACGATACCGAGAACTCAAGGGTGGCACGCTTTCTACCATTAGCAAAACTGGACCAAATGTTTGGCGTTGTCATTCATTCGTTCTTCATGAGCCCTCGGGTAGCACTTTCCATCCGAATGGACGTTGGTTATCGAACACATGCTAAGGTCATGCGCACGGTCGATCAAAGGAGCGCAGCATAGTTTAATGCTTTGTGCTCAGTCGTCTGGGATGGACTAACGTCTACTACTATTGCAGGACGTGATGGTCGGATGCAACTTACCCAGTCACTCCACTTGGTGATACTAAAAGCACTTGGCACTCTGTGGCTGGTGTAACTCGATGAGCATGTACATTTCTCTGTATTTCTGTTCTGAAGTAACTCGAAAGAGGGTTAGGGATTACTCAGATCGCTCAAAACCTGACACTTACCAGCGATCGGTAGACGCCCCGTTCGATACCCTACCAAAGGTTAAGACTGAATGGAGGACACCTAACCGGACGTAAAGCTGAGCTTGCAAAATGGTGTCAGCGTCGATGCGATTTGCATAACCCTCGACATGCTATGTCATCAGATCGCACATAAGACTACGAGGAACATGACCGGTTGAATGAAATAACCCTCTGCTATGATCTTCTCCAAGTAATCACGAAAGTTTAAAAGAGGACAAGCACTTGGCAGCTTGCTAAATTGGGTTTTCAACGCTGCAATCCGACTGGCTGAAGCACCTACAGCTAAAGCAGAAGTACTTCAAGGGAAGACAGCAAAAGTAAATGCATTGGCCTGCCTGTTACGTAGTAGTACGACGATCTTCGGTTGCCACGCCGTGCGAGCTACCCAATCAAGGGATGATTCTGCTTCACGCCTAAAAAAAAGGTTTGGAAAGAAACATCCGGGCATCGAAGTCGCTGATCGCTATGAATCTCAGCGACTGGTGCCCGGCAACAAATGCATGCCTCGTATGGATAGCGGCTGTCATATGCAGGTGACAGAAGGCGAAAATCAGAGTTGATTCAGGCTTTTTGGGTGTTGTGTATCACATTTCCATCTACTACGATGAATTGTTTGACCCATTGGAGACTTTGCCATCCAAATAGTGGCGTGCCTTGGTGAGGTTCTGCGTCAACGGTTGCCTCCATGAGGTTCCGCGTCAATGAGTACATATTCAGTTCCGGCGTCTCGTTTGTAGTGCCGCCAACACGTCGATGCCAATGAAACAACAAGCAAGCACGAAGGCGCGCGCCAGAGAAAGAGAGAGGGCAGAGAGCAACGAAACTTTGGTGATTCACAGTTTACCAGTTGCTTTGCGTCTGGCGACGTCGAGAACGGTCGCAGTAGCAATCGTTGCATTTCTGACTGCCACCTACAAGACCGTTCGTCGCCATATGGTGGAATTTATCGTTCGATTCGATTTTCGTCACAAAACCCGAGTCATTCATTCGTATCCTGAAAGCTGCTGCTGCAACATACTGAAACACTCGTCTCGACCTTCTCACGACAATATGGTGCACCACAACCACCAAACAATGTTTCACGGCAACTTGGCCAGAACAAAAGAGGCAACTTTGACTCAAACGCATGCGGTAGAACCATCGGGGGCAACACCTCGCTGCACTGATCAGTCTTTGGTCCAGATCCGCACCATCGACCTTCGTTCTAGAGTTGTCTCCTGCATCTCGACAGCACCACGGGCTGCTAGT